CATTGTCATGCATCCTTTTGGATGCTACTTTGCTGCTGCCCCTCTGCAAAACAATTCTAGTCACTCAGTTCACGACGAAGCATTCCGAAATACTCCGACTCTCCTGCACGAACACTTTTGCTCGCAGTCCTGATTCGTGCTGCATTGCAAAGGTCACGCACATAGATGCATGTAGCATACATTTGGCAAACACGCCCCTGTGACTAGCTAGCAGATGAGAGGCCGGGTTGTGGATGACTGGAGCATGTGAAGCCTGGATGTGGGGCCATTTTCGGCAGCAAGTGTGAAACAACAGCTTGAAGCGAATCGAGCCCAAGCTTGCTGAGAGGGCTGACTCTCACCCTGCAGCTGACGTGGGAAGCTACTAACCTGTGACCAATGCTCTGCCTTCCGACTCCTCTCGGCATCAACAAGACCGTCTACATATATTGTGTACTTTGCTTCAGCCGCAAAGCTGTTGTGAACATCAGACTGCTGCCACGGGTATGTGGCTCAAGGATGCTCAGAAGAGGTTCGTCTTCTTCATGATGCGCAGGAACTCTTCCTCGTTGACCTGCGGCGGCTTCTTTTTCAACTTTCAATGCAGGCCTATGTCATACGTTCAGTGAGGCCAACGGTCAGCTGGGTCGGCGAAGCTGCAGCTCGCGCTTGCATGGGCTTGCCGCAAGCCTCGCCGTCGCCATCTCGATCAGCCTCGTCAATCATCTCTTGGAGCTCCTGCCGAGGGCCCAAGGGCCAGGAACCGAGTGGGACGCGTCAGTGGCTTCAAACGCACTTCGCGGGAGCCTCGTCGGTCATTCGCTCGCCAAGCTCCTCCCGTGAAGAGCGACGGTCTTCACTAGGACAGTGACAGGAAGGTGGTGGCAGGGTCACATGGTGAGAAACTTGTTCACAGAAAGAACCATCACACGAATTCACACTGGTACGGGAAATCTGCACTCTAGACTCTCCCACCCTCAGTCCTTGGCTACGCGCTTCAAGTTCTTGAAAGAGATCTTGCCGGTCTCGTCGTCATCGAAGAGCCGGAAGGCCTTGAGGATCTCGTCCTTCCTTGCAGTGCCAGGGCAGCCCTGGCATGGGACTGTCAAAGCACAAGGCAGGCGAGCGGCGGATCTCGGTTCAGGATCTTGTGGGTCATCATCTTCAGGAACCTCAGGAAGGCCGCGAGTTCGGGTGGAGACAGACAGACAGAGGGATAGCAGCTCGGAGGAGAGGCAGAGAGACAGAGAGAGAGAGAGAGACAGATGAGACAGAGAGAGAGAGAGAGAGATCGAGCGAGAGCGAGCAGGGCAATGCGAGGAGAGAGAAGAGTGCGGGTATCCGAGTTTGCCAAGAAGCTCTTCGTACCCGATGGTGCCGCTGCCGTCGTCATCGACGTCTGAGATCATTTTCTGAATCTCTTCCTGGGGAAATTGTTAGAGAGAGACAGCCGAAGAATCCACCCAAGAAGTCGACAGTCGTCATGTGCTCTGGGAGGGAAGGCACCATCGAAAGACCCCAAGCCGCTCTGTGCTAGCTGCTAGCTTCCTCAAGCACGACGCCAGCAATCCGACGGCACCGGCCTTCTTCGGCTCGAAGCCCAGGGCACGCATGGCCACCTTCAGCTCCTTGGAGTCGATCTCGCCTCGTCTTGCGCTACAACCGGCATCCGATACTGTCTTTGTTACACGTCCTTCCCCATCACCTCATCTCCTCATCTTCACAACCCCCCAACCTCTGAGCTCTCTAGTCTTCGGCTACGGGGGCGGAGGTTGGTTTTTCTGCCCAAACCCCAGATGCGATGGCCTGGTCTTTCGTGCTGCAACGACACGTGACCACAATGTCTTGGTATGGGCACGGATTTCCAGAAGTCCTACTGAGCCCTACTTGCTGCCTGAGCCATCCGTGTCGAAGAGGTCAAAAGCCTCCTTGATCTCCTGCAGCCAAAGCATGCTCTGACACCGTCGCACAAGACTGTTGAAAGACTGGACCCCGACCGCATCCATTTTGACTGCAGAGCCTAAGAGAATTCCGAAACATCTAAAACATGCGCAGACACTGGTGTCCTGCTTCTGCTCCTCGGTCAGCTCCTGCAATGCGGGCTCAGGGAAACGGCCCGAGTCAGGATGCTGGACATCAGGCCAGCTCTTATGGAGCCTTGCTATATAAACAGGGTGAACGTGCACTAGAACTTGTGTCAATTGTCGTAAAGGGATGGCTTATGGTGGCTTGCTGACTGCTGTATGCGGGAAGCACGACAGAGTGAGTGATCGTGCCGAGAGCTGGTTCACGTGGAATGCTTCCAGAAGTAGAAGCCACAGAGTGCAGAAGCGCACGCTGAAGTAGACTTCCCCACACATGTTCCCAACAAGTATCCTTCCTTATGAGCGAAACCGGCTTTGCTCCTGGTCAACTAAGCGATGGTCCCACCTCTGTAGCCTGAAATTGCCCAGTTCATCAGGCTTACTGTCATCTATAACACGAGAGTCGACCGTCGCTGCGTCACTGTACTTGTAGTGTTGCAGCATCTGCGAACTGGCATCTGAGATCATCTGACAGTGCCCCCTGCGAACTTCATGCTACGATCCAACTCCCTGTGTTCGTTCCCTGTGGTGCTTTTGTTCTGTTGAATTGCTGGTGCCGGGGCCCGGCATGGCCTCTGTGTTAACCCGCGTTTCGCACACACCCAAGACACACCGTGAACGGTCTATCCGAAAAGCATATAGAACTGCAACGACGAACGACAAGGACGTGGTGTTGTGTTTTCAAACATTACGTGAAGTCCCACTCCAAGGCCCCTCGGAGGGGCCTTCTGCTTCTTTCCGCCGGCGTTGAAGCGTCGCAGGGCCATGATGCAGAGAGCGCGGGGAGGCACAAGGAGGCGGACGAAGCGGAGCCGAGACGCTGCCAGCAGTCGAAAATGCTAGGTGAGAGGCCGTGTCGGGCCGTCGGGTGAAGAACTTAGGGTTGTAGGCAGTGGTGAAGGCTTGACGGCGCAGATTCCTGTCTCGAGCCTGCTGGGGTTCAGGATCTTCTTGCGGAAAGAAACAACTCTTGATTTCTGGAAGCTTTGGTTATGAGAGCCCTTCCTATTCCTGGTGCTCCCTTCCAGAAGTATTCCTGAACCCGATGCTTGGCAAATCTTGGCAACAGCTTCAGACGTAGTGGAGTTTGTGTGGGATCGCGCCTGGAGGTTCTCCTGCGCCGGTGCCTTACCGACACGAGAAGCCTGCGCGAGCGTGGCCAGTGCTGTGGGGCGGATGGGTGGGGAAGGATGAGTTTGAAAAGCACAGTTCGCTTAGCGACGTGTAGCGATCCAGACGATGTTCGTTCGAGATACTTACTTGTACGAGCCCTTCTTCCGCGAAGAAACACAAGTGTCTTCGTCCTGCTGCCCTCATGCTGCTGACGTCTCCAACTTGTCACAATAGTTCGTCATGATCTGCGCTATCGAAGGCCGGCATTTTTTGCGTGCTCAGGCAAGCTGGACCGCCGAACTTCCGCGTCATGACGACCTTCACTTTTGGCGCGGCTGCTGTCGTGAGCAACCACAGCTGCAGCAAGGAAGGCCCCTCCGCTTTTGCACTGCGACCAAACTGTCAAAGCGGGTTCTATGCTTTGCCAGCTATTGAGCAGTGCGACCTGCAGTGTCGGCCGACCATACATGCCCACGCGGGAGAAAGCACATCCGCCATCACCCGCCAGAGCTGCGTGTGGCCGAATGCTCTGCCACTGCGACCAAACTGACAGCAGTCTGGGCAGCTTGCCAGCTATTGAGCAGTGCTGTGGAACGACATGTCAAGCCTTGGAAGTGGAAGCATTATCGACCTCGAACGAACCTCCTCATCCTGCCAGAGGGTCGCCGAAGTGAGTGATGGTACTAACGCAGACCAGTTTCTATTGCATCCAAAGAGCTGTGAAGACTCTAGACTCTAGCTGAAACTATCCAGGATTGGAACGGAGGCGAAGCCCGGAAGAAAATTGCAGTCCCGCTAGACGTGGCCCAGTCCAGCACTCTGAGCGATCCTTTTCTCTGCACTGCGTGGTCAGCTGAGGCGGAGGAGGCCAGCCTTCAAGGACCAGGGCTCTTGGCGCGCAGGGGCTTTGGGAGTTTGGCATTCAGGATGGTCATCTTTAGGGTGGAGGGCCTGCAGAACGCTGCTCAAGCTCCTAAAGCACAAAACCCAACCCTGAAGCCAAAACGATGCCATGCCAGTGCGGCAGCATGCGAGCTGCGAGTACGGCCTGTTGAATGAGCGCCAGTTCCCGGCGCAGGTCCTGAAGAGCTTCGCAACAGACAACAACGAAGGGCAATTGGTCATTCATGAGGGCCACGGGTTAACGGCGCGTGGACTCTGTTCCTTTGCTTAGGACGGCTTCCTTCAGGGAACAATTCATTGTGACCCGTGTCCAACCCGCGGTGCCATAGCACCATAATATGGAGCCTTCTTTCGGGTCCCCAAAAGACAGAAACAGACCCTCAAAGCCTTCACCCGAACAAAGAGCCCTGTGCGAGCTGCGAAGCAGCTTGCAGACCTTGACATCATCCCCGAGTATACCCAAGCGAGACTGTCGACTCTCTCCCACATCTTGGCCTCGCAGCGGGCACGCAGGTCAGCAGGAAGCCTCCCTGTGCCCCCCTGACCTGGGCTGCACACACGATCAGAGTGGGTTTCGGCGGTCGAGCTTCACAGGCTCAGGCTTGTGCTCGGAGAATCCGAGGCTTCTGGATCGAAAGAGCTACATGTCACAAGACAATTCCTGTCTCTAAACATCAGGTCAGAAGAACGGGCTGACTAACGTCGAAAGTGCCGTGACCTTTCAACAAAGTTCTTCACTTGCCCAAGCCGAGGGGATAACCGCTTGACATCTCGTTGAGGATGTCCACATGCGCGAGCAGGCACAGGTGCCTCGGACAAAGCCGTCCAGCATGAGACATCGTGGCCCTGTTCTCGGTGCTGCCAAAGGACTCACTAAGCTGGATCCGGGTCAGGTCATCACTGGCATCCATTGGGAGTGTCTCACTCCTGAGCCGGGCTCGTGACACCCGTGGCCACGGCTACAGCTCCGAAGTGTTGAAGAGCTTCGATGGACACTCCGCCAGGGAGCCGCAAGCCGCCTGAACCCGCTCCCAGTGCTCCAGCCGCTCCAGCCTCCAGCCGCCTCGAGGAAGCGAAGCTGCAGGCAAAGCATTCGCGTTTTCGCATCATGCGAAGATCTCCGTAAAGCGACTTCGACCGGTCACGCCGACCCAGACTACCGGAAGGACGAGCTCTCAATAGAACGGACCGATGGGCACTACATGTAGCGGACGATGGTTGTGGAGGGGACTGCCATACTCCGCTCCTGGAAAACACGTAAGAAACTTTCGATGCACTTGAGCCTGGCGAGAAGTCTCTGCAGCCACTTCCCACCATTCTCCGAAGCCTACCAGCACAGCAACGGCCAGCTCTATCGACATTGCGTATCCATGCTTTCATCTTGCTGCAACGTCGACACATTGGACGTGAAACTCGCAGGGTGGGTGGGCAAGATGTTGCTAGGCTGAGGCTGGATGATGCAATCTTCTTCAGTCCTCACACGGCATGCTACAGGCTACACTAGTAAGCTCAAGAGTTCTCCATTTGTTTGCTGAGCTCCGCCTGCAGCATCAGAGCGAGCTCGTCCGTGACACGTGAAGTATCCAGGTGCAGATTCGGCAAATCCTGAGAGAAGGCCGGTTTCGGGCCGAAGCAAGCAACTACTCGAGTTCAAGTCCAAGTCGGAAGTGAGGCTATCAAGCACACGGGCAATGAGACTGCCTCGACCTCCTCAGCGCCCTCGGCGGCCTTAGTTGGAATCTCCGTCGCCGGATCATCTCGATTTTGCCGGGGGTTTGGGATGTGATCGGGACCCATCCATTGTGGCCTGCCCTCAAAACCGCATAGAGCACACAGAGATAGGGCACCTCGTGGAGCTCTGCCTGGGAGAAGGTGCAGGTCCAGCTCGGCTCGGCCCTGTCAGCGAGATGCGAGGCACAAGCAACGCTTTCTGAGATGTGACCTTCGGCTTCCGAGCGCCGTGGAGCTCACAAGTCTTGGAGGGTTTCTTTTATCGCCCCATGTCTCGGGACCGATCATCACCAGACGCCCGGCAGTGAGCTGGCACTAAATCATGCTACTGCAGGTGAGGGGTACCACCGACAGCCACTGTTGCAGCAACCTTCGAGGCGACCTGCCCTTGCAGTCGCGGCGCTTCACGTCCTCGATTCCCCCAGCTGCGACACCAACGGTCGAGCGCTTCGGCTCGGTTTTGCAACACCCAAAACCACTGGGAAAATCTGTGGGCTGGCAAGTCGGGGAATCCGTCCATCAGCTCCGTTTAGACAGGCGCATGCTCGGAATCGTTCGAGAACACCAACGAAAACAGTTCGAACATCATGAGGACCATCCAGAATCATGTTCCTAATTCCGGCACAGTAGGGCAGCTGTGCACATATGCAAAATTGCTTGAGCTGCCAGAGGAGGTGGTGCGACCAAGGCCACACGTTCTCGGCTTGTAAGGGGGCGGGAGTGAAGATTTCAAGCCGGAAACCAGGCGGTCAACGCTTGCGGTAGGTGACAATGCGTCCCTGTCCTACTAGCGATTTTCGCGCTTCGGCCAACAGCTCTCTGGCAGAGGTGCAGAACCAGGAGTTGGTGGTCTGGTTAAAGTTGACCATGAGCCTGCCAACATCTTGCAATGCGGAGCCAACTCAGGACCGCTTGATCGCAGATGACGGCCAGAAGGCCGGTCCAAGCGCCAAGCGCAGCACTCCCAGCATGCCCTCCGGTCCGCAGCCATGCAAGTAAGATGAGAAATCCGAAACCTTCACCGCCTGGAAAAGGGGGACTTGCCTCCACATTAACTGAACATGAAATGGAGGCTTCAGGGTTCAGCAGACGGGTTTGGTCCCGCGGTGCACCTCCATGGCAGCGTGAATCCGTAGGTGCGCCAAAGCAGCGGGTTGGACAGGTTGCCATAGGAAATCAATACTTCTTCACCTGGGTTCAGTCTTCTCGGGGGGGGTTAGGGAAGGGCTCGCAGCTGAGTCTGAAATGTCTGGGCCACACATGGGCCGGACTTTGCAACCATGATTGGACTGTAAATCATGATGAGGACGATGATGATAACGACGATGCTGGTGTTGGTGCTGCTGGTGGTGCTAGTGGTGCTGGTATGTGCTGGTGGTGCTGGAAGTGCTGGTGGTGCTCGCGGTGGTCGCCGTTGTGGCCATTCTCGTGGCCGTGGCGATGGGTGTTGAGTCGGCTTTGACGACGTAGTCGTCATCGTCGTCGGCACTGTAGGTAGTAGTAAGAGAAGTACTTGTAGTGGTAGTCGTCGTAGTCGTAGTCGAGTAGGAGCAGGAGCAAGGGCCGGAGTAGGAGTAGGAGGAGTAGGAGAAGTAGGTTGGAGTAGGAGTAGGAGCAGAGTTAGGCGTAGGAGGAGGCGAAGTAGCAGGAGCGGGAGTCGGAGGAGTAGGAGTAGGAGTAGGAGTAGGAGCAGGAGCAGGAGCAGGAGGCTGTAGCAGTAGCAGCAACAGCAGCAGCAGCAGTAGCAGTAGTAGTAGTAGTAGTAGCAGCAGCAGTGGGAGTAGTGGTAGTAGTAGTTGTAGTAGTTGTAGTAGTAGTAGCAGCAGCAGCAGTAGCAGTAGCAGTAGCAGTAGCAGTAGCAGTAGCAGTAGCAGTAGCAGTGGCAGTGGCAGTGGCAGTGGGAGTAGCAGTAGCAGTAGCGGTAGCGTTAGCAGTAGCAGTACGTCGCTGCAGTAGCAGCAGCAGCAGCAGCAGCAGCAGCAGCAGCAGCAACAGCAGTAGCCAGCAGCAGCAGGCGTCGTCGCTACAGTAGTTGTAGTAGTAGCAGAAGTAGCAGTAGCAATAGCACAAGTAGTAGTAGTAGCAGTAGTAGTAGTAGTAGTAGAAGTAGTAAAAATAGTAGCAGTAGTAGTAGTAGTAGTAGTAGTAGTAGTAGTAGTAGTAGTAGTAATAGTAATAGTAGTAGTAGTAGTAGCAGTAGTAGTAAAAATAGTAGTAGTAGTAGTAGTAGTAGTAGTAGTAGTAGTAGTAGTAGTAGTAGTAGTGGTAGTAGTAGTAGCAGTAGCAGTAGTCGTCGTCGTCTTTATAGGTTCAAGGGTCTTATGCAGTTGCAGCTGCAACAGCAGGAGTAGAAATGGTCACAGCAGAGGACTAGCGGTGGTAGTTGGCAGCAACTGGCAGTGCGGAGGTGCAAGTCTTGTGATCAATGACCTGTTGTTTGTTTTTTCTGTTCCTGTTGCTACTTAGACTTACCAGAACTCTTGACGCTCGCTTGGTGCTTTAGCTTCAGTCTCAGGCCGGTGCCGGCGCTCAAGTCGGTGAGAGCCCTGACCTCCACGGAACCCGAGGCCTAGGCGAAGCGGAGCCAAAGAGGCACGTCGGCGTGGGCTCAATCGCGCCATAAATAGTGGGGCCACCGGGCCGCTCTTAGCCGTTTTCAAGATGCAAGAAGAGAAAGGCGAGGATTGGCGTCTCGCGTTGTCTCAGTTTGTTCGGCACAGTAGGGTTTAGGCTGTCGCGGGTGGTGAACTTGCATTGCCACGCTGAGCTCTATCTTACAACCCCCTAGACTTCTGAACCCCGAAAGAACCCGTCTGCATGCTTCCAGGCCCAGATCCCTTAGAGTAACACTGAGCCCTGTTGGAAAAGCGGCAGACAGGCCTCGTCCCAGTCGCTGGACGCAGTAGGTGTGGCAGAGTGGTTTAGGAAGTCCACGCCTTCCAATCCAAGAGGCATCGTGTTGAGATGCTTCGTGGACTCATAGCTTCTGCTGTAGCTATCATTGCAATCAGAAGCAACATCTTTTGCGGGAGAGCTAGACTCTCTGCTGGATGACACAATAAAGGTGCCTCCCACCTGGAACCAATGCAGAGCCGTGTGGCCCACCAAACCGCCGCGTCAGCAGGCAAAGCCAGGACAGTAGGAAGAGGCCTCCGTGCGTGCGAAGGTCAAAACGCGATAGTGAAGGATCTACCGCAAGCATCTTCCTCTGTGTGCGATCCAAGGGGATACTCATGCCACTTCGAGAGATCGTCATTTGACAACGCGGACGACTCTCCGTTTGTGTCGCAAGGCAGTTAAGCTTTTGATCCTTGTACGGTTTCCTCATACTCCTGATTCTGTTTCAGCTGTTTGTATTACAACCCTGCTGATTTTCCTGGCTTGTCGATCGAAAGCTTACTGAAATTCAGACCTCAATACTCGAAGGAAGGTCACTCTGGATTGCAGGTCTCAGTCGCGGCACACTGGTCACTGAAAGTCAAACTGCCTTCGTCCAGCTGTCGAAGATGTTCCGAACTCAAAGTGTCACAAATGCAGCTGTAGACTGTCCTGCGCTGGCAGTTGCGCATGAGGGAAGAGATTGTTGGAAAAATCGATCCGTCGAACGCTGTGTGAACCTTCCGTACTGACGGTCCTCACGTACTGCGCCTGTGCTGCAAGAAGCTCCTTAATCGCTGTCACGGCTCTCACCCCGCGCCACACACGTCCCATGCGACCACGACAATGACAAGGCTCTGGCTCGGCCGAGGAGTGGTCACTTTTCACGCAGCCCTGCCACGCCGATGTGTACGGGTGCTTCTGCTCCTCGAAATCCTGGCACCACCGCGAGGCCCATCCACAACGGAACCTATCGGAACCCCAACACGCGCGCAGCTCCGAATCTGCTCCTGACCGAATCCAAGCAGTACCGCGGCCAACGCTCGCCACAGAGCCGGCCATTGCTCACCTGAAGCCTTGAGCAGAATCGAGAAGCCACACACACAAAGGGAAGGCGTCACTGCGCCTGCGCATCTGTCGCTCGCCCGGCTTCGCCTGTCGTGGGTCTCACCGTCAGGCTGTTGACAGTTTCACGAATGAAAGAACGCTCATCGCGATGGAGCTAGGCCCAAGTATATGTGGCATAAACGGATTGGAACGGAACGCTTCTCCACCCAGTGTTCCAGATTCCGACGACTGCCTGAACGCTGCGAGGAGAGCAGCAAGGCCATGCCTGGCATTCCTAAATCTGAGGGGCATCTGAATCTGAGGGTAAGGTCCACTACGATTCAAGCTTGAAGAAGCGCTGCATGAGGTAACCCTTCTTTGATATTGCCCAGCCACAGAGCGCATCAGCTGCCTCGCCTCGCCTTGGACCAGGGGAAGGGGCACCATGCGTAACAACGACTCTACCAGTAGCCGCTCCTAGTCCTTCAAAAACAGGTTCAGATTTCATGGGTCAGGCTTGGCCTGCGGATGCCTTCGGTATTGCAGCCGGGCCGCTTCTCTGGGTCCGCACTTGGCAGCGCCTTCAGGAATCGTGTGAGTGCTCTGCCTGCTCGCCTTCTATATGGTCGCGACTCACGACGAGGGATGCGGCTTCGGAAAACTCTGGATCATGGCCCCTTTCCTCCCACCTCACAGCCAGCATAAATGGCAGGCGCTGCAGCCTGACACTGCGGCCTGCGAGCCCCGCTTGCTGCGCTGTGGCTGTTGCCGCAGTCTAGAACACAGAGTAGCAGCTCGGGCATAAGGCATTGTGGATTCCTCCTACGCAAGGCTCAAGCTCAAAGCATACCCCGCGCCTGGAGAAGTGAAGTTTGGAGGGCACTTGGCAGAGGAGCGTCCCAGCAGGAACCGCATGCGCCAGCCTCACCCCAGGCACCTTGAGACGGCGGCTCGGCACTCTAACCACAACAAGCTTCATGGCGATTTTGGTTTTCGACCCAGGCGCTGGCAGCTCTGGAGACTCTGCGAAGCGCAGGGCCTCGCTGGATCAATCATCCAGGGGCCAGAGTGGCTCCGCGACCAACAATAGGAACGCGGGCCCACCTCGTGCCACGTGCCACCTGCTTCCCGCAGCGCCGCCGCCACCGAGGACCGTGGGGCGCCGCTGAAGCGTGGCAGCCTGCTGGCGGCAGGCGCTTCCACTGGCTCCGGATCTCTCTGGGTCTTGGGCACCCCGTCCTTGGCGCCACGCGCCGTCGCTTGGCATCGCCATCTCCTCGGCTGCAGACGGTGCGTGGCGCGCTCTGCAGCATGGTTCAGCACGGAGTATCTCAGCATCCTGCCGTCTGCCATGTCAGGAACTGCGCACGTGCTTTCATCAGAACGCCGGACGCTCTTCTAAGGAAATCTCGCTGGAGGTCAGCTTTTGTGAGCTTCAAGTTCTCTGTTTTGGGGCGTTTACTCGGGCGACGCCGGCCTTTTAGGAAGTCAGCAAGAAGTTAAAATGAAGTTAGAGACCAAGTTAGAGACTAAGTCGTAAATATATTTAAAGTAGCTAGCTTATCGCTAACTTTTCGATTGTCTTTTACAATTACAGACATCCTGCGCTTTTTGGCTGGATTTGGTCTATAATTCAACCGACGCTCGTCATGAAAGCAGTCAAATGGAAGAAGGAGTCATTTTGTCCTCAGCATGTGCCAATGCCACTAATGCAAGAGTTAGACAACGAGTTGACCGTCAGCATTCCTTGTTTCCCAAGCGAAAGAGACTTGGTAACTTCGTGGGTTCTTCAGCAGACATCCAGTTCTGACCCGATCAGAAAAATGTTCAGACTGAGAGGTTCCATTTTTCAAACAATCCACACCAGTGTCGTACTCAGGAATTCAGCACTGCTTCAAAACCTGTGCGGACACGACACGATTTCTGCATAGCCGAGATAGTATCAAAGCTACCCAGACATACCCAGGGTCCACTGTCGAATTATCCTGCAACCTGAGCTGTTGAGACGTTGAACAGCCAGAGCATCGAATGAGAAGATTGTCGTCTCATTGCTAAATCTGAAGCGGGGATGTTTGCTGTCGACAATTCCAGCAGCCCGCGGAGATCCACTAAATGTCCAAGCAGAAAGACCTGCTCGAATTCGATTAGGGTACGTTAACTCAGCAGCCGGGATCAGTCATCTTCGACTGTGGCCCCTCTGCTGTCGCACTGCTGCCGCTCGGCATACCTTGACGGAGCTTACGGATTGATTGGTGCAGGACGACCTCCACGTGCCCAACCGTGAACCTCAACGCCGGCACACGGTGCCTCACATCTAGGATTCCGGAACAACAACCCAACCAGCCTTGAAAGGGGGTTCAGATTCGTCCGAGGAGCAGTGTCACTAACCTGAGCTGGCTAGGAGAAAGCTCCTGCCAGCGCTTTCGGGAGTGCTGCATGTCAAACCCGACAGGACTGACTGCTCACAGGTGATCGGACTCTCCTGGCGGAAGTAGCTCATAACATCCTGTCAGTGTGCGAGCAGATCAAAACAGCTTCGTAGATTTTGAGGCAAGAACTCCGTCCTCTCCCACGATCAAATATAGGTCCACCAGGCTGAAGATGGCTGCCTTACCTCGTCCCAGTGCTCGAGCGGTGCAAAATCTCCACAGGTCCCCAACCGTGACTTCGCTTCGCCGGGGAAGCGGCGCATCTCCGCAGCGTCGGTCTCCGCAGCAGCCACGATGGGCGCGACGATGACATCCAGGTGCTCGAGAATCTGCCTGAGCCGCTGGGATGCTGGCTTCGAATGGGGACGCTACACCCGTGATGACGAAACATCCTGGGACCCCTGAAGCCTTAGACTCCCCGGCACACCAGAAATCTTCGCCGAGTGCGGCCACGGCACTCCGGTCGGAGCCTTCGAAGTGCCGTGCAAAGCAGGTCGAAGTTCTGCGACACCTCCGAGCAAGGACGAAGGCTTTCAACTTTGCGGTGGCGACATTGGTGGATCGCAGGGTCATGAGCGTTCTTGGCGCATGGGGTTGAGGAGGGTTGAGGGGAATGCCATAGGATCACGCATCCATGGCTGCAAGCTTTAACAAAAACCCAAAACCAAACGTTGGTGAAATGAGAGCAGCTCCCAAGTAGTGTCTAATGCAGGTACAGCAAGTACAGTTTAGGCCGCAAACAATGTTTACGTGTTTGAGCTCCTACAAACAAGCATACACATGTTGAGCAATGCATACCTCCATCTGTGTCGATGTGTCTCTATGTGTGTACCTGTGTTTCAGCACATGCAACTGTGTTTACTAGCCTCGACCTAGACTTATATCAAATCTTCATGTAGGCCCTGTGATGAACCAACACCCTTTGTGGTATCTGATGAGCGTGCAATTAAGCACCTTAGCCTTAGCCCAACGTTAGGTTCACCCCTGATCGCCAGTTCCGCTTACGAAAACGGCCCACGTAGCTGGACTGCTGGGCTGGGGTTTAGGGTTTCGGGATCGCCGCCGCGAAGCGCGAAGGCCATCGCGCCGTTCCACTCATCCAGCGGCCCGACAGAAGCGTCAGAGGGGAACTCCAGCACGATCCAGTATAGGGGTTGCAGTTCGTTACGTTCTTGTGGTCGCGGTAGAGGCACTCCCAGAAGCGATCGACGGTTTTCTGAGTACCACCCAGGGACAGTGCCCCTGCTTCCAGCACCACTCCGGCAGTGCCGGTTGCGTCTATCCCTGTCCCGGACAGTGACTCGCCTCCTGCTGGGAGCTCAGGCTATCGTCGCATCGTCAGCCCTCGCCCCCTAAAGGAGGCTCAGGCTTTCCAGCGAGAGTTCCATGTCATATGCGAGTGAGCTTAAGTCTTAGAACCCTGCCATGAATTATGTCTCGCTTGCTCAAGCAAAATCTCCACAATGAACTGCATAACGAATACCAGAAAAAGTTAATGCCCCAAAAAGTGTATAAGGATGCACTCAAGGACCGAGATTCCTCAAATGTGATGTTTATGTGTGTCTGGACCAGGGCATATAGCAAAGCCTGGACAGTTTTCATTTTTTTACGCTTTAAGATAAACGTTGGCGCTTCTGGTTCACTCTAACTAGGCAACTAGAAGCTCGAGCAGTAGTTGAAAGCCCGACTTAAAAACAGCCCAAGGGCTATTTGAAGCAGCCTGTTCTTACTTTGAGCCGTATCCCACGTAAACATAAGCTCTCTTCGGGAGGGAGGGAGCGCGGAGGGATGGATGGATGAAAGGATGCATGTACGCGTTTTTAATAGCTACAAGTACAAGTATGTGTGACGATCGCAGGAGAAGTTCGGAAGATGGCTAGTCCAGTATGGTAAACTCTTGTAGCGAATATGCACAAGATGAGTCTCCTTGCCTGGAGCGAAACCGGATGGATGCTGCATAAAAGCTTGCAGCTTGTGGTTCGGGGCTGTTCGGTGTTTCTGAGGGTTCAAGATGCGAGTCTAAGGTTTTGAGGCCGTTCCAGCCTTGCGCAAAGACAGCGCTGTCTGTCAGCGATGAAGGGTGTCTTCCCGCGCGCCTGCGGCAGCAGGATCTCCAAAGCTCTCAGCGGCTCGATGGAGGCCAGGAGATGGTCTAGAGCTCCTTTGTAGGAAAGGCTCAGGAGGGACCTGTCACCACTATCAACAGCATCGACATTGTCATATTGTCATACTGGCATATTGTGATGTGTCTTCTTGTTCTGTTTGATCCTGAGGCCGTTGACCGCAGCAGCAATGCTGTCGTCATTCCTCCTCACATCCGCCGAGGCCAGAGGCCGTGTCGTAATGTATAAGGGGTTTTGGCTCCTTGAAGTAATTGTTGGTGGGAAGGGTGGGAGCACCTGTGATTTTGACGGTTATGTCGCTGCGATTTTGGGTTTGCACGTTGCCCCTACTCTCCCCGCTTCCCCCCCATCTCTGCCTCCTCCCTGCTCTTCCTCCCCTGCCTACCTACCTCCGCTCCCACCGCCCCCGACCCCTTTTCCTTTTCTTTGCTGGGTTCTTGTTCCTTCCCTTCCTTCTGCAAGGCTTGCCTCTGCCGCTATTCTTGCGGCATGACTGCACCGGAAACTCAAACACTCAATGCCAAACCCTGGCCTTGGACAATAATAGTCTATTTTTGTCAGAACCGGCTGCTGGATGCGGGCACGCATAACGGAACTCGGAAATGGCTACGAGGCGGCTGATAACGAGTACGTGGGGTACCATCGTGGCTGCATGTAGCAGTATGCTATTCGCGTTTGAGCAAGTGTGGGCAGCAGTATGCGCATCAGCAGCGGCATGGGTGGTAGCACTAGCATCAGGAACAACATCCCGGCACTTGGATTGCCGCTGCCTTGCTGAAGAAAGATGGCTCCTATCCTATTTAGAGCATGATGATTTCCTTCGGCGTTTTACAGATACACGTTTTTTGAGAACTTGCTTGTAGCAGCCATCCCGAACATGCTACACGCACACATCTCACAGCCCCAAAGCCCACAGAGGCAAACACTTAGGAAGGTTCAGTTCCAGCGCCGACTGAATGGCTGAATGGCAAGAGGCCCTGGAGTGCGCAAGGGCCAGGACAGAAGAGCTGATGCCGCTGAGACACGCGCAAGACCCGCGGCCAGCCTGCGATCCGGGCCGGCGCGCCCGGATACCTCGAAGAACTTGGAGGCCACGACCTGCTAACGTCACGGCACTCGGGGGTTCAGCATTCAAGCTTTAGAGTCTGAGACTCCTGACTCCTGCGGCAGTAGACAGGGAGCACAGAACTCATTCCGTTGAGTACGGAGGAAGGATCTGTTGGCAAACAGGCATCCTCCCCATGCCTCGACGATCCCCGCTCTCGTGATTCGGAAAACTGGGGGCTTCGACGAAATTGCATTGCTTCGAGAATTTCAGTTAACCGGTCATCCCGCGGCTCCTCCGCATAGTCTGCCACGCAAGCCGGATGGTGAAGAATCATCTCCTCCGTTCTGGCTTAATGACATCGGATTTCCATCTGCAAGATGTCCGACAAGCGTTCACCAGAATTCGGACTGGCGTCCTGGATGCAGAAGACCGAGGCATCCTGGACCTGCCGCAGGGGAAACGGGGCGCAAAGGGGCTGGGAGCCAAAGGCACAGCTCCCCGATTTCCCTCGAGACCTCGCGGGCCGAAGCGCTGCATGTGAGGGCATTCAGCGCCAAGATGAGGACCCGGCCGCCTTTCGCACTTGTGCTTTAGGGCGGGAGTTCGAGGGCAAAGCGAGACTGCTCTCAGCAAGATGCCAGCACAACTATTTTGTCCAAACGGCGACATGAGAAGTGCAACCGCTTACGTCAAAAAGCGGGTCCGAGTGTGACCTTGTATGAACCTAACTACGTCCGTAGTCCCTCTTGGCAGAGAAAGGCTTCTGTACAAGGCTTCAGCTTGCACACAGCACACTTGCCGCCTGCAAACAGAGACTGCAATGATACCCTGGTTTGTTCAAGGCGCTCAGCGACCTTGACAAGACATCCTGCACTGCCTGCTGCACACGACGGGGAACACCGAAAGATGCCAAGACGACTACGGGAGTACTGTAGCGCATGGGCTGCTTGCATATGTTTACACTGTATGTCTTTTCCGATCTTTTCCTGTGTCGCCATCTCATTGCAGGACTTCGGGCTTGCATGGAATGGCACACTAAAATTGCAAAGCGGCGCAAAAGCACCTCGCCTGGCGTAGACACGACCCTAGATTTTGTACTTCAAGATTACCACCTCCTTGTGGCTCTCCGAATTGAACTGGAGCTCAACGTCTCCTGGCCTCACCACCCTCGCCACAAGGTCCTTGGACATGGGACTGCCCACCACGGCCTGCCACTCCCGGTCCTCTTTGCTCAGCTTGCCCAGATCTGAGAGGTGAAGCCCCACTCCACCGGACTTCAGCGCCCGTGCGTGGCGCCGCACGAGGCCGCGAAGCGCCGAGTTCAGGCGCCGTTCCTCTAGAGTCAAGGGCGGGCTCGCCACCGCCCGACTCAACTCCTGCGCTTGGCGCAGCCACTCCGACTCCTTCTGCGTGCAAACTGGGACAGCGGAGTCGCAGTCAGCAAACACAAAATGCACAACTGCACAAATCTGCCCCAGCGTCCTCCTGCTGTACCTTGATGGATCGATCGGCTCGGCGAGGTGACATCGTTCTCGCACGAAGCGCAGCCTGCTGGCGGTGGTCAATGTCGACGTGGATGAAGCCGCACTTGATGCTGACGATGAGCTCCGGCTCAGAGGTCATGCTGGGAGCTGACGAAGCGGATTTCAGAAATGAAATGGCTGCGTGCAGCGGGCACAGGCAGTTGACTGTCACAGAATGCACAAGGCACTGACTCTGTCCAGCACCGGCATCTCCACCGTCATCAGACCACCTCCACTATCGCCACCGCCCTCCTTATCACCAGAAAACCATGACTAGCCCCACTACCCACCACTCGTACAACCACCACCTTGGCAGAAGCAGCAGCACCAAGACGCTGCAAGTTGCAGACATCATTCCCTCCTGCTTGTGCTTCACCCTGCCTTGACTTCTCCACGTCTCCTCGTCTTCTGCCTCGGCTGCGGGGCGGAGCCGACAGGTTGCAAACAGGAAACCCCCCCCGAGACCTACCTTCGCAGCAGCAGCCAGGGCCCGCAACGTCGACGCCTGGGCTTCGGAGTCCAGTCAAGCCTGGTTTTCCCCGCAACCTTTAACGCCAAGTCAAGTGCACCTCCGTGCACGGGCGCGAGGCCAGCAGCGCCGTCAGCGAAGGAAGCGCCTGGCCGGGCTGCCGGGCTCGGGCTTTGAGAGTCTGGGAGGCTCCAGGCTCCAGAAAAAGTCGGAGTGTTCATGCCCATGCCCACGCCAGAACGAGGCCTGGGCCTAATCTGCTGGAATCTCATGGGTCCTCCCAGTCAACACTCGAAATCATGAGGCCCCGTGTCGTGCCTCCTTCTCCGACGACTGTGGCTGCACGCGTCCTGGCAGAGATCTTTAAAGATTCTACAGGATGTGAGCCTGCCACCCGAGAAAAACTACATACAGTAAAACTGAACTCATGACACTGTCCTAAAAATGATTCCACGCACAAAATCTCTGCTCTCAGGAACTGCGAAGAGGTTTACAGCCTGTTGCCATCGGAACAAAGGTGTGTCGAGATTTGGCTTGAACTGAACTTATTAACCGAACAGAGAGCCGAGAGCCCTTCTTGCTGAGATTCCTTCGAAGCTGGTGCCGAGGCCAAGACTGTGTCGGACAATTCCCCCCACGATTCGATTCTTCGCCACTTAGAGGGTATCCTAAACACTGTAGGCGGTCTGTACACACCATCACCGCCCCCCCACCCACCCCCGCTTTGCTTCTCCTCGTCGCAAAGGCAGGCCCGCCACATTCGGCTTTGGTGACGGTGCCGGCGGTGGGGGCCTCAATGCCGCTGTGGTATGGAACGAAACCTGCCTTCCTTATTGTTAGCATTCCACCGAATCATGTCCGTCCATCCCATCCTCGCTGTGTGCCGAGTCGCGGCTCCTCGCAAACAAACCACCTGCCAGCTGCGAAAAGGGCGAGGGTTCTCATGGACTCGGGAGGAAGAAAGCCAGATGTAAGAGAAATCCGGTCCGGTGCACCCTGCCTGCCAAGAACCCTTTTTGCAGCTCTGTGTGTCACGGCACATCGTGCCAGCGCAGCGGTGAGGGGGGCTGCCACGCACTTGTCGGCGATGGCATCTCGCACCAGCCTCAAGGGCATTACACTCCGCTAGGCGCCGCTGGGCATGCAAAAAGCTCACTAAAGTATCCTCAAGCTCTGGTTGCACAGTGGACATATGGTATCCGGGACGCAGTTAGGCTGCTGCAAAGCCACTCCGATCCAGTGAGCAGTCTGTCGAGCAGCTCGACCGCAGCCAATTGCGCGGCAGGCCCGTTCGCCTCGCAGACGTCGTACACCCACTAAACATCCTAAACCGCGTGGATCCAGGCTACGACCGGCTACGCGGCAGGTTGAAGCGACCTCAAGGAGTGCCATGTGCAGGGCCCGCAGCGCATGGGAGGCCTTGGGGCGCGCATGTGGCCTCGGGCCATGGGACACTTGGGTTGTATCCACACGCAGTCTTGGCTCTGATCCGAAATCCAAAAGCACAGCAGCAATATGGAGCAACCATGAATCCCTGCTGTGGAAGTAGCTTCTCCGGCTGCAGCGCTTCCACGAGGGCCTCGACTGTTTCGCTTTCGATTCTCGGGGCGGCCCGGGGCATCTCTGACTTGCGAGAATCAAGTCCATGTAGCTTGGCTTAGATTGGGCGACATGACCCTACTAAGGCATTGGCGTCGCTGTCACTGCCTTTCAAGCAGGCATCGACCAGCTGCTCCATGGAGGGCGGCCATTCTGCCTGGTGCCGGCTCCAAACACAATCTGCGGCCTCTTCTGTGGAGTCAAAGCAGAATTCTGGCATTCTGGCTCGTGGTGCAGTACCATGCAGGTTCCAGCCTTCGGCTCCGCCGCAGGCTCGGCTTTGGCCTGCCGCGGAGACGACGGAGAGGACGGCCAAGCCTCCTCGCAAGCAGGAGTCAACGGACGGCGCAACGGAGCACAGTGCGCCCTCTCGCGGAACCTCCAGGCCGCGAGGCTCGGCTTCGGGTTCGGAGGGCAGCCGCTGCGCCGCTGGCAGCGGCGCTGGTGCTGCAGTCTCGATGCTCTCCGGCTCTCCTGAATTCGGTCAGCTGCAAGTTGCCACTGAAATGCCCTGTTGGGTGCCGTCCGTCCTCCCCCGAGTTTTCCCGCAGAGCTTCGCTGCTGCGGTTTCTGCTTGCTCAGATCCGATTCCGGCTGCCGGTCCTGCAGGATAAAACTTGCCACTTACTTGGAACCCGATGACATATTCGCAACGATTCCCCTTTACCTTTTCGTCCTGGGTCAACGAGACTTCGTTCCGAAACGAACAGGCAAGCAACGTGTCAAGGCAACTCGCGTTCTATACCTACAACACCTACAAGAGACGGAGGAACGGACAGTCTGCTCCGCCGCTGCGACCACCGTTTCTAGTCACCATGACGTGACACGGGTCCTTGGCAATGAGCTTCTGGGAGGCAGATCGAAGCAGCCTCCTCGCAAGTACGATGCAGGCACCGCTGGCAGAACTCGCGAAGTCTCGCAGGAGCTCGCGGCAGCGTCATCTGCAACCTGACCCTAGATCCCTTGGACTGCCCCAAGATGCCACAAGAGCATGCGGTTAAAAGATTCTGTTGGTGCCTCTTCTCTTGCGACGTCGAAGCTGTCACATCAGCCCTTGGTTCTGATCTCGCCAGTTTTCTTGACTCCAGTCAACAGCTCTTGCCACGATTTGAAGCTGACCGCACTGTGCACAAAACTAGACGAGATGCAGCGGCCGCCGTTGGGCCTGCCGATGAGGCCCCCAGAATCTCACAAGCCCCACACTGCAGTCTCTGCCTCGATGTCCGCGGTTCTGCGCTTCTGCGAGGCTGACCTTTCCAACAGAGATTCCACCCTGGACACAGGGCGACTGGCTGAGCCCTTCTTGAGCCCAAGGCCTGGCCCGCAAAGAAGACGCGGCTTTCGGCCCACCAGGGCCTCGCCGAAACCCCGAAGTCTGTGGCTAGAACTGGAACGTTGGGCTTGCCCAAGTCCCTCTTCGGTTTCGTTGCTTGGCGCCACAATTCTTGATCTCGACGTTCGGGAGATTATTACGCTCGGAGAGCAGTTGTGGGACGAGCCGAGCTGAAGGGCATGGTGCAGATGTGGCTGCGCTGCGCAGATGGCACGTGCGCTGATCCCTTTATTCGGGTGCGAACTCTGCTGAGCGCATGCGCCCGGCCGGACTCGCAGTTCTCGCCTTCGCCTGTCGGGGCCTCTGCCTTCAGCTGGCGTTGCCTCACACGTCGTCTTTGGCACAGTGCACTAGCCGCAGAAAAACTGCAGGCAGATACAGCGACCTTGCAGGATCCAGAAGCGCCAGGAATCGCAGGCCCCGCTCCTGGCAGAAGCACGAAAGCTCCCAGACCCTGGCACCGGAATCATCGACTGGCAGTTCCTCGAACTTCTGCGTGAAGGCCCAGAAGCACTGCCGGGCCGAGCCACGGACCTCCAAAACCCGCGCTCTGCAGAGGGAAGACAACTGGTTGTTGGCCTCTCTTTCAAACTTTCAGAGAGCCGAAGCAGCATTTTTGCTTGTCTAGTAGTAAATAGTACTCGGTACAAGGAAGCCCGGCCTCTTCTCTCGCATCTTCGAGGCCATCACGGATCGCCTGCCGGGGTAGTTACTGGTAGGCACTAGTACGAGCACAACTACGACCACGACTACGAAAACGACCACGACGACGGCGGCGACTGCTACGACCGACCGCGGCTACCACTGCCACTACCACGACCCACTACCCACTACTCAATACCCACCCATTATCCACCACCCATTACAACTGCCCACTACCCACTGTCCACTACCGCTACCAGCTACCTCACGACCCATGACCCACGACCCACACTACCCACACCACCCACGCTGCCCACACTGCCCAGCCCACTACCACTCGTTCGGTTCGAAGGCAAACCGACGTGCTTCGGCTACTTGTGGATTCAAGTGTCCTATTTAGTCTGTAGAATAGCAAGAACAGAATAGAATAAATGGAATGCAATCGAATAGCTTCGAACGGACCAGACTAGCGTGGAGTAGAGCAGCTCAAAATAGAATATGCGGCTTCAAACGGCCTTCTGCAGCGGTTCGGCCAAACGCTCAAGCCGCTCCGTCGGATGGCTCTGCAGAGCCAGCAGGAGCACCTCCCACGTTTGTCTTGCTCGAATGCCAGAGAAACTCCATCATCCCGGTTTTGTGGAAACTACAACACTCTAGCAGTGCAGCCAGCCGTTGTAGCAGTTGAAGCAGCTGCACAGCAAGCACTATCACTAACCCTGTTCCATGAGCGGAAAGCTTTTACAAAGCATGGCGAATGGTAAGTCGAGTCTCTCCATTAGTCGTAGCGACATGTAACAACTACGGCAACACATGGCAATTGCAGAGATTCTGCCAATTGCAGTAGTCGATAACTATGCGCAAAAATTGGCGCATCATGCCTGTCGCACTATCGTATAGTGGTTGCGGCAGGTGCCGGTCATGACTAAAGAACAATCAAGAACGTTTGATTCATTGAGCCAACCAAGCCTTGAAACTTCAACAGCCGGCCTGCAGCCCGCGATGACGCTGCACGCTACTGCGCGCACTCCTCGGCAGAGTACACGGCAGACGGCTAGCCTTTCGAGGAGCAAAAGGCTTTCGGGTAGCCAAGTCCGAGCCAAGGTGCACAGGCTCCAGAAGTGCCTCTGCATGACGGGCAATGATGCGTGAAATGACGACAAGAGGCATGTTGAACACATGTCACGTCGTCTCTCCGCCTGGACAACTCGTGGGGCCTGACAGGCTCCGACGATGGCGCAAGCACACCGGAAGCCTGAAGTTCACTCTGCTCGTCTCTGCGTGCACATGGATGAGAAACTGCGGCTGCGCAGCAGCTTTCTGCAATAACCAGGATTGTCACGGACGTGCTGCGGAGAAGAACCTCAGGGCGGATGCAGGTGGCTGGTAAAACCGGGGGTCGTGCCGTAATGTGCCGTAGTTGCAGCTAGCGAACAGGAAGAGCAGCGGCAGCCAGCACCTCGATCTCGCTGCCAAACCTTGAAACCAGGACTGCTGCATGCGGTACAGGCGCCCAAACCACAAGAAGCAAACGCATGAAACGCATGAAGACACTGTAGACACACTGAGACGCGCTGTGCCGGCCAGGCGACGCCTCGGCAAGCAGCCGCAGGGCCACGCAGGCCTCCGAAGGCAACGCAGCCGGCCGGGGGTGGGAGGGGGAAGACGCACGGCACACGCGCGGCCCGCTTCCAAGGGGCCAAGGCAAGGGCCGCGCCTCCCGGACCAGCGCCGAGCGGAGGTCCGTGACCTGGCAAAGCCGAAGCCACGACACGCGACGTGGCACGACGCGGCAAGATGCGGCAAGGCCCAGGGCCCAGGGCCTGCGCCAAGAGCAGCTCCCGCAGCCGCAGCAAAGCCTGCACGAAACCCTCCAGGTGCGAGCTGCCCATCACCTCGAAGACAAGACAAGCTGCGAGGATCGCACAAAAGGCGTTGAACCACAAGATACTGTACTTATTCGAGTCGGGCGTCTAAACCTTGCAGTCTCTTCAGAGAGCGGCAGCGCTCGGCCCAGTCCTGCATCATCTACTCGCTTGCTCCGACTTTCTCCCGCCGCACCATCGAGGTCTAAGTGGCATCTCGCTTCTCCAGGGATCGCTGCAACCTCGTGCACAGGCTGCAGGCAGCCTCTTCTCAACGACGGAACTTGAATTGGCTTAAGCTTTAACTGACAAGGCACGTGTCCATCTCCCGAGCAAGCTCCCGGCCTTTCATGCGGACAGTGAGGTCCAGCACAGCTGCCGTATAAGGGTGCACTTTCGTCTGACTCTTGCAGCCTGTGGAGCAGCAAAGTGCTTGCACATCCTCCGCTGGTTCCTTTAGCTGCCGGAATGGTGCATGACAGCGAAACGGCTCGAGAACTCGGATCATGATCGAAGCATGGCCAAGATACTAATTCAACCGAAGCAATGTCGGCAAGCTTGCGGGGGGCCATGGCTTGGTGCAAGCACCTCTACGTGGCATTAGCCTTTGTTGTCGATGATGCGTGGCTAAGCGTCGGACTGCAAAGACCTGCGGCATGCACCCGGCTCAGGTCTGAGGCCTTGTGCTTGTGATCCGCCAGACAGCTCCGACTGGGTGATCACAAAACTTGCAGAATGGCTCCACCAAGTGACGAAAGATGAGCGAAGGCCTGTTTCTTCGTCGCACTCCGAAGGCCCAAGCCAGTCTTTTGCGCCTGCATGTTGTTTGCTCTGGCCGTGCGAGGTCAACAGCAACAGAGCAGACCTCGGCCCACGGATGCCCACGGCACAGAAGCGGAAGAGAGATGTCAGAGATCGAGACGAGTGAGCCAAGCGCTCCTTGCATGTCGTGCGTGCAATTTTCCTGCGACGAGGTGTGAGGAGGTTCGAACCCCTCGCTAAAGCAGACGCTTGCTGGAGGCTGGAGCCGGTGATCCTGCCGATCCCCAGATCGATCAAGGGACCGGTGCATTCGCACGGAGCTTGGCCCCGACCCGGCATGAAACTGCATCACTAATTCTCGTGAAGAACATTTCAATGGCTGGCTTCACAAAGTATGCATGTATGCATATACATTGACCAACTGCCTGACTGGTCCTTTCGAGAATGAGCGTGCAGGTCGTTCGTGAATTCCGCTGGCTGGAGAGACTGATCAAACAAACAGATAACACTTGCAAACCTCCTGGGTGCTCTTGGTCTTGTTACGAACTCGTCTGTGGCTCTCACCACCCAACCAGGCAAGCAGGGCGTAGCAGAAACGGAACAGGCATCGGCCCTGAATTAATCGAGATTCCAACTCCTAAGCCTTCCGCAAGGCCGTGCTCGAATCCCTTTGAAGCTCATCATGTTTATGATGGCGAACTACCGGCATGGTTCTTGCACCGACTCGGAATACCTGCCAAGCTCCTCCTGCAAAGTCCACTGCCAAGAACCAACGCCCAGCAAAGTCAACCGAAGGAGAAGCGAAAATGTCGGTTGATCATGTCATGCAGCTGAATTCTTGCCGAACCATGCGTCTCTTAGCTTTGGGTCATGTTCGACTGCGCAGGACCGACAGCATGGCTTCAACTCTGGCACCTGTCAGTTTCTCACAAGCTCCTTGCTAAACAACCACGCGAAGGAGCCCCGAATGCTTCCGCAGCACATGCATTCGAAAGACAACCGGTCGAAGAGGTTGCTGCACCCCCAGATGAATCCTCATATCGGGGCTAGCCGCGGGTGCTTCATTCAAGCCCAGCGCGATGATCTGAGGCGGGCGTCCACGGCTGTCGCTAAGTTTCGGTTGCTGACCCTGGAATGGCTAAACCCTTGCAGCTCCAAGATGCACAAAGCGTTGGCCATGGGAACAACCCGAACTAAAGAATTCTGCGAAAAGCTCTTCATTCTCATCGGCGTCCTTCTTGCATGACCTGGCTGCTGAAGAAAGCGATTCAACCACAGCCGTCGCTCTTCGTCATGCTTATGATGGACAACCAGCCCTGGAATGTTCGCTCTCTATTGATGAAGACAACTCAGAAGATTGCGACAAGGACGACGAGGACGATGCTGATGTTGATTCTGCCGACGTTGATCTGGTGATGATGATGATGATGATGATAATGACGATGATGATGATGATGATGATGGTGGTGCCAATGATGCTGATGTTGCTGCTGATGATGATGACGATGATGATGCAACGTCACAGGCAGCACCCGCATAAATCATCATACTCTTCAAGCACTACGCATACATCATCAAAGTCATGCCTGTCATCATCATTATCATCATCAGCAGCAGCAGCAGCATCAGCATCAGCATCAGCATCATCATCATAATCATAATCATCGCCGCCACCACCACTTCCACCACAATGATTGGAATGCCGTGCCTCCTCTCTCACTTCGCCTTGTCATCGCCGAAGCCAAGAGCCACCAAGAGGCTAGGCCTGCCTTTTGATCCTGTCAGATCTTGGCCGAGTTAAGGCTTTAGAGCTGTCCGGTTCCCCCCAAACATCAAAACCCAATCTGGAAAACCCCACGTGCTGCCGGGAAGTGGCGGGTCTTCTCTTGTTCGGCAACGACAGATAGACTTGGCGCCAGTCCCTGCAGCCAGCAAAGCGGCTCAGGGTGCGTTGCTTGGCTTGTTGGAAATCTGAACATCGGCCTTCGCCTCAACACCTCTGCAAACCATCATTTTGGACTTTGGTTTTTCAGCTGAAATGACCAGTTCCTGGCATCACAAACTTCCCGCAAGACCTCAAGGAATCACGGAAAAGACAGTCTCTGATGCCTCGACCGGCGCACCACCAACACCCGCCGCAGGCGCAGCGTCACCAGACAGGCCCTGAAGTGAGCTCAAGGCTCCTATTGTGTGTGGAGACATTCTTGATGGCTCTTGCTTACTACTTGGGACTTCAGGTCTCCGACGACTGAGCATCATACTCGTGGCAAGACCACCCACAAATACACAACCAGTGAGCGAGTGTGGGAGGGAGAGGGCGAGGGAGAGAGTGAGTGGGTCGGTTTGTGTGCCCAAACAACATGGTCCCTGTCGCCATCTCAGCCTCTCCGCAAACACACCCCCCCAAGCTCTTCCCCATGTCTTCTCTATCGGGGGTACTAAGCTGGGGGGGGCGCAAGCTTAGAGAAAGGGCACACGCAGACACGCACCGGAGACCAGGGGATAAGGCACAACTCTGCCAAACCCCCTCTGGCCGCGCTCAGCTCGAACAGTGTCCGCTTGGCGTGTTGGAACAATCACATGTCGGTTGAATGCTCGGTGCAAGCTATCAAGGCTGATTTGTATGCGCAATTGAGGCGCAACTCTTAATTTGCAGGGCGCTTTTGTTTTCTTCCGCTGCTGCTACTTTGCTACTACCGCTACCACTGCTGCTTACAACTCCCTACTGACTGCAGACTGCCTATGTACTACCGACAACTGCTGGCTGCTGCCACCACCACCACCACCACCACCGCCACCACCACAACGCAGAGAGTGCCTGAAGCTTGATCTTCACGCTGCTCTGCACCCCATCCACGGGTTGCAGCCGCGAAGTGCGGACAGCGAAAAAGCTGAACCTAAGGATTCAAGTGTCGCTTCGGAGTTTGGGATGGGATCTCAGAGATTGCGCAAAAGCCTTTTCTCATGCTTCCTTGATGCATGCAGACACTTGGAGCTTCAGTGTCTTGAAGCGCCATCTGCTCCCTCAACATCAACAGGTTAGAGTCAGAGATTGGACAGAGGCATCCACTTGCTTGTGCCTTGGAACACACTATTTCTTGAAAGGCCCCATGCTTATTGTGGCTGTTGCTTCGGATGCTGTTGCTGCTCTCCGGGCTTTAAGGGTCCGTCGTAGGCTAAGCCCCGCTTGGATGAGTCAGAACCCCATACAAGGAGCATGACGGTGCCGATAACTAAATGGCCAGGAACAACGTATTTGAGGCACATCCTGACTCGTGTTTGGGCTCGGGAACCAAGGACTTGCAACATGACACGAGGCTGAAAGACTGAGCTCTCGACCGCCCGATCCAAAACATCCAAAGGCCCACCCTTGCAGAACTGTGCAAGTCTTCGACTGATCGTCAAAACAGTCGTGTCGCTGCGCGGGATTAATCTGCATGTCTTCGAAAGTTACATGTCACGCTTCTGGACAGGACATCTCTGCACGTCCGAAACAGTGTGAAGCCAAGCATAGGCATGCCAAGCAGCAGGACAAACATGCAAATGTGCTCCACATGACGTATAAGGTCGATGGTTGCGAGGTCTTGATCCGTGAGATCCTCAAGTCGTGCAGAAACATAGTATGCTGGGCAAGAAATAAATGCAACAAGGGCAATCAAAGCAAACACGACATGGCCTCTGCGGACAGATACGTGCAGGATCGGAACCAAACGGGCATGTTCGAGACGAAGGAAGCAGCCATACCTAGAGAGCTCTTGATACGGCTCAATCTGGCTCACGGCAATCTCTCTCTCCCTCTTGCTTGCTTGCTTGCCAAGCGTTTGGGGGTGCAGGGTCGGGCCCTACAACCCCTGCGCGCGAGCGCTGCGCCCCTGTTGAGACTACGGTGAACAGGTGTGTACCTCCTCTCTCTCTCTGGGTTCTTCTTCTTCCGCTCAGTCAAGGAGCAATGTTCAACCTACTGCCCCCACGCAGTCCACGCCCGGTTTTGCTGGCGGGGTGTTAAGGGAGGCGGCTCTGGGGCCGTCAGCCAGGAAACACCCCACATGTTGCGAGAACAGTGCCAAGCAGTCGCAAAATCCTCGCATAGCAAATCGTCGCATACTGTCCCCCCTGGCCCTGCTTCCTGTTACAACATCAGTCTAAGAAAACATATGAAACCAAATTCTCATGCGCTGTCCTAAAGAAGGAAATCGTGTGTGCGTGCCTTTCTCGGTGCTTTGCTCGGGCTACGGCTACGGCCCATGGCAAGACACCCTGGTGCAAGCTCTTCGCAAATGCCATGCCCTGCAGCAAAGCCCTGGAGAAAAAATTCCAACAAGTCACGGGAGACAACTCAGCAGCTATCATTCTCACAACTCGTAAGAAACTTGACCTTTGTAGCATGTGCATGCGGTGTAATTGGTCGTGGTAAGAAGTCCACGACGACTGAGTTGAAGCGGTCCACTGGCCAGGCGACGCACTGCAAGCAGGTGCGCGAGAGCGCAAGCTCGGGGAGCTGAGAAGAGCGACCGGCATCGCTGTATGATTGGACCAGTGGTAACCCTCAGCCGTGCGTGATGCATAATGATTGGGATGCGTCCCACATAGTGATGCATGCTCTTGACTGGTCATGCCGAAGGGACAGTCCAGGAGGGCCCATGTGACACACCACGAGGAAGGTAACGCGTCAAGATGCGTCAAGCCCGGACAGGCAGCAGGGGCCCTGTTTGGGTCAGGGCCTGTCCAAAGCCTTGTCCGGGCTGTCCGGAAGGGGCAGAAACGACGGCGCAACGGCGTCGGGGCCCTTGGCAGGTGCCCTTTTTCCTCC